AACCCTAACCCTAACCCTAACCCTAACCCTAACCCTAACCCTAACCCTAACCCTAACCCTATAACTTTCCTGAAGAATGGTTTAGAGAGGTTACTGGTTTTGAGTTCAAACCTCTAACCCTAACCCTAATCCTAACCAGGCTTCTCGCTCCTCGGTGCTTTCCTGGTGTTTGTCTTCTTGAAGAAAACATCATCCGTTAGAGAGGTCGTCATGGCCCCCCGGAGAGGAATTTTGATTGGTGGGCACGCGCGTCACGCCCCTGCATTGTGATGATGCAGGGACGGGACGGTCGGCGCGTCCATGACCAATGGAAAGTCGCGTGGTGGAGATTGCTGCCTGGAGGGACAGGACAGGTGGGGAAGGCTCTTCCCGCCCGACCGTCTACTTAAGAAGCATCTCCCCCCGCGTTCTCTGACACTTCTTTTGCCCTGATGAGCCACACACGGCGAAACTGGCAGTTTTTCTGAGGAAATCTTCCAGTCGGCACAACGTGTATTAACGCTCACAGTCCTCTGCAAATTGACTCTGCCCTTTCTGAGATTCCTAACCCTAACCCTAACCCTAACCCTAACCCTTTTTATTAACTAACTTTATAATATTCTTCTTAATTTTCCCCCTTATTTTTTTTTTTTTTTTACTTTTTTAGCTACTTTATTAAGTTTTTTAACTTTTTTAGTATTTTTAGCTTTTAATAATATATTTCTTTTCTTATTAATATCCTTTATAATAATAACTTTTTTATTACCCTTTTAGGCCTATTAGCTTTAATTCTTAAAGTTATAATAAGTAACTTACTTATTACTTTTTTTAGCACTAGTTATAGTTATAGTTATTAATTGCCGACCGAGTCTGATATTAGCAAGAAGCTATAATACTTCAGGGAGTAATACAAAGCCGGAAACCTACAAGTAGCTGCTTTATAAAGCGATTTATTTAAATTAATATAATATATAAAAGCAAAATAAGGTGATTATAAGGAAAATAATAAGCTTTATAAAAGTTAGAACTTTATTAATTTATATTATATTAGATTACTTTAAGTTTTTTAGGGTATAACTCACGTGATTATAAGTTACTATTATTATTACGTGTATAATTATAGGCTTTTACCGGTATATAAGGTTATAAATCACCTTTTAAGCTAGTAAATTTAATGTATTATAATGCGTATATATAATATTTTTAAAATTATATATTACTATTAAATTAGCTAAGTATAGCTATTAATTATATTACTAATAAGTCCTGGTAATTAACTAGCCTTTTTTTTATTTTTTTATAATAATTTAATAATTTAATATAAATAAATATTAATTATTATATATAAATAACTTTATTTTTTTTTATTATATATTAATATTAAAAATAATATCTTATTATATTTTATATTA